CGTGTCGCCTCAAGTTTCTTAAGCCACCCTTCTCGTCTAAAATTCTTTACGTTTTGGACAAACGCGTTCCACGCAGCCAAAAGCGATGTTTTGTCACGCTTTTGGTTGCTGTTGTACCATCGATGTCTAAGAAAGACATCGAGATAAAAATCTTCTTCAGCGCGAAAGTTCTTCGCGCTGGAACTCAAGCCGTGAAGCTCAGTCGCATCGAATAAGGGCATTCGATGGTGTTGGCTTGTCTCGTGAGGTAAGCTACTGATGAGCCGTTCGGGCAAACGACACGGCTTCAGCTCATCACGCTCCACAGTGGTACCCTTTTCGGTACCACGGCTCCCAGATTGACGACGTCTCACGCCATCGTCTTCACGCTCGTGCGAAGAGGCACGAGTCGGCGGTGATAAGGAGTAATACTCCTCACCACCCTGATCAACTTCGTCATCACTGCCGAACAGACTGTGATTCAAATCACGAGTCCGTTCGTTCGGCAGTGGCCTTGGCGAATACTGAGGCGTAGCCGGTGAGAGAGACGCCTCTGGAGCATTGCCCGAGTCAGACACGTCTGACTCACCAGAGTAGATGACCTTAACGTCGGGGTCATCATGCGCAAGCGGTGTAATGCCGCATGCACCTGCAGCACCTATTGCTGCAGGCGAAGAAGGAGCAGCAGACGACGAATCGTCTGCGACTGAGGCTGGCACAGCACCGAGCTGTGCGGGTCTTGAGTCACCCCGCATTGACATGTCAACTATGCGAGGTCAAGCGGAAATTGAATGGAACGAACCCAACAAGTGCTCCCTGTCCCAATGGTGCCCAACGGGTGGCCGCCATATTTTCAATAGTCACACGATGACTATCAGTTAAGGGGGGGGGTAATGCAACGGGGCAGCCCGTTATATGGAATTGTCATTTTAAAGATAATGACAATAAAGAATACTATGTTGAATATTCTTTCGACAATATCACCAATAGTGGTGATGTTGAAGGGTCGACCAAAGAGTCTGTTCATTGGTTGATATCTTGATGATATCAACCCACCAATCGCCGCAAGACGCGCGCAATGAGTGGTGACGAGACGTCACCATACACTCAGTTATATTAGTATAATTAAGTTAAGTCAAACAGAGAGACAGTAGCAAAAAGACTTAATTATATTAATATAACAGTTCTGCTTTTACCTTATCTACGCTTCCTCGTTTGCCTCGTGTTCGTCTGTCGGGGCACCGAAACCCTTGCGTTAAGTTCACGCAAGGGTGTCCCCGTTACAAGCTAGATATTTATGTTCTTGAAACAAGGCGGCAAAGTTTTGGCCACCAGCTTTCGTTATAAAAGCGCCTGTAGTGAAAAGTAGCTACTAGAGGTTGCTTGCACGGATCTAGTGGAATACGCGCAGCTGGCACCTTGAGTGGGCGACTGAAAGGCATTAAGACAGATACAGGTAAGATGGGTATGGCTCCCGCTCGGACTAATACACGTAGATAGGAAATTTATATTAGTGGCTCGGTTTCACTCCCATTAATATTAGATGTGATTGAAACTTCGGACAGGTGTTAAGAATCGTATTTGTGTAGTTTCTACACAACGAAGACTTGCGCTTCCACAGATCGTTATATATAATGTAATAATCTATTTACCCTCTAATAGCCCAACAATATGTCAATAATGCCTGTGCGTACGCAAAATTATATACAGCACTACTAAATAATCCATATATGGAATAGGCCATCCACAGAATGTACAGGCATATTACAAGCTTTCAACAATCACATGGTCTGCACAGGTGACTCGAGTTTTGTGTAGAATGTATCATGCATCGATCGCATTTATCTATTCAATGTAGAAATGGAACAAGAAGTAAGTAACACTGAATAAGATTTAGCTATGTCCCTGGGGTCAACCCTTTTGATAGTTCTCAACGCGTATCAAACTAGAAAGTGGAAATGTATCTACTCGCTCGTCAACGATTGTGTGCGTCTAGTTGCGATAAATGGTTTCGTGCATTGATTTGATGGACTATAAACAATATGTGGAGCTGTGCCCAATACTACCTTCGACGTTTACATCCGTTCAATATCAACTTAGCCACGCAAATGTTGAAAAACGTTGCAAAAATTTGTCGTATCATTTAACATAATTTGTTTTAACGACATTAATCGAGTTCACCTTGTTGCAACATACTAACAGTCGCGGCACAACGTGACTTAGCATTAAGCAGAATTTAGCGGGTATCAGAAGATGCGACTGAACCGTGTATCCCTTCGTTACCGAGATGACAGGTATTAACATGCAATACACGAAGAAAAAAATCGACAAGTCGTAGCTCATTCTACTGCCTATGAAGAAACGGTCATTTTGCATCTAAATGTTTCTACTATTTCAGAGAATCAAGGCACATATTAATCAACGCGATAAAATCAAGACGTCAACGTCTATATCAGGTCGACGATGAGATGGATACACCGATATATGTTGGCGAGTCTTTTCATCATCCAAATTGAGCCAACCGTCAAATACAATATCTGTATATTGTAGGGCAATCCGGTTGCGTGCGGTCTTGGAGATGACATGAGGTATTTTTTTAAATTGAATGAATGAGTGGCGGCAACAAGATGTGCCGATCGTTTGTTGGTCCTACCCTGCCTGTCTTCGTCTCGGCGCCTATATTCCAAGTAAATGTGGCTTGGTCGAGATGAACAGAGAAAATAAGAGATTTTTTTCGCATGGAATCACGCATTCTTTTATGATTTCACGCAGACGTCAAAAGTTAAGACTACAGAGGACTTGCGTCAACTTATTGTGAATAGACCCCAATAACTACAGGACGGGAGCTTGAAGCATCGATGACGTCAACGCTAGCAGGACGATCTTCGTTGTAGAATTATAACACATATAAGCCTGCACTGACATTCAGCAAGAAGTGTACTTTATAAGCTTTCGTTGCAACTTGTAGTAGTTGTGCTCGAAGGACCACAGTGCGGCAGTTTCGTAGATATACCAGCGGTTGGCGCCTTAGTATCGGTCCGAACAAGTTATTGGACGGTTGTGCGCCAAAACTGCATCGATATAAATCGTGATACGAACATTTTAACCGGTTAGGCTTTGTTCTGGCCCTCAAAGTCGATGTGCGCATGCCAACATATACAGCTGTACACTAGGTGGACAAGGTATCAAACAATTTAGGAGAGAAGAAGTGGGCAAGCTAAAGTGTCAGTCATAAAAAAAGTAGCTCCTGACGATGCATCTTGAGCTTCGTGCTGCCATGCATAGTAACTGCACCGCAGGATGTGTAAATGTCGACTTGGAGTCTTGTACTGATAACGATATGTGTTGGTATACGTGCGCGCATGATTATGACCCTGTGCCATTTCGTCACGACGATGTGCAACAAATCGGGTACCTTTTCTCGTCCTTAAACCAACCTGTGTAAAACCTGAACGCTGAGCAAGTGCTGAGCCCCATACGATGTCGGTGCGCTTCTACCTGGACTACATCCTACTCTTCCTCGCTGGCTCAGCCTGCTGGCCTAATCTTTTAGACTACGCGGGGACACTCTGCAGAGGGCACGTGAAACAAATTTTCTTGTCCGGGATGCTAACAGAGCGCTATAGTCGCAATACCGCCGGGCACTACTTCAATCGCCCCCGATGGCCGCTACAGCACTGAGACGACAATGACCAAATCACGATCCAGGAGGTTTCGCTCCGTGGGACGAATAGACTTGCGGACCGGGCCGGCCACTTGAAGGCCAACGTATCATAGAAGGAACTAGTAGGTGGGGGACGAATGCTGGAGGCGCCCCCGACCCTTACTTCGGGGTGTCTCGGTTGTTGATTCCCTTTCGATTTAGGCGCCGCGCTACCTCATGTACGCACGCAGCGGCGGGAAGCCCCGCCCCTCTAACCTGGGCCTTATATGAAAAGGCTCCTCGCATAGGAAAAGGGGACCGGTTGTCCCGTTCGTTGGAGGTCTTCGTCGCTTGGCCGTTGGTGCCCGAAGGCGCAAATTGGGAAGTGACTTTAACAATTGTTTCTACGGTATTACTGGCGCAGCCAAACTTAACCAGGGACTGGATTTTATGACGGAGTAAGGTACGGACTCGAATACAAACAAGCCGGTAACGTGCAAGCATGTCGTTTGAGACAAAACATCATTCTTTTCTCCATCCTTTAGAAATGTACCGCCTGCGCACGCAGAGCCTCACTTTTTCTGGCTCACAAGCCTGCATACCACTGCTCATTTCTGATCAAAACACACCATACCCATGCTTTATTGCTGCAAACAAATATATATAAGGACCGTCTCGTACGCGCAAAAAGAGACAGGAAGAAAGAATTGAGCTGCCTGTTGGCCTCACCTAACTTAAAGCAATACAGATATGAGTGGCTGCTTGCATCCGAAAATCTGATTCTGCCGTCAGGCGTCTGAAAACGCGGCGCTCCTCCCGATTCGTCACAAACCATTCCACGGCACGAAACGGAAGCCGCGTCTTCAAAGTGACAGGTGACCGCAGCCATGCGCACCATTTCCATCATGTTGCTGGCTGCCGCTGCCCAGGTCGAAAGTGCGTCGTGGTCAACGTCTGGGTTGCCTTCAATGTCTGCAAAATTTGGTCAACACGAAAGCTCTACCCAAAACTTGACGGGACTAGGCTCGACGAATGAAGAAAGAATGCCGTTAATGCGGTAAGTCACTAACACAACGTTGCAATTAACACAATTCTAAAAGAGATGGTTCATAGGGTACAAGAGGGGGCGACACTTGGGGAACCGGCGGCGACAAACATTAACTCGTTGGTGGCAAAAGCAAAGTCGATCGGGGATAAGCTTGTGCACCATCCGCTTTCTCGTTTCATTGGGCTAGGACCATCACGTGCTGATCGAAGTTTGGTCGATATGGGGTTTTTCGATTTAGAGAATCCCGCCTCGGTCACGCCATCAGACTTCATATTTTGGTACGACTTTGTTAAAAGTACTACGCCACGGTACCGGAACCCAGTAAACGCGATGGTACGGTCGTTGGTCCAAAACGCAGGTTATGCCAAATCGGCAAGGATGCTACAGGCTGTTGTGAGTGAAGGAAAGAGCACGCGCGAGGCCAACGAATTGCTCTCGGCGCTACTGACGAAATGGGTGCAAAACAGCAATTCTCTGCACGATGTGTTGATTGAGCAATTCAAACTTGGCGCCGGATTGGATGAGATGTTTAAAGACCCAGGCCTCATTCTCGTCGCGGACAGATTCATCAGCGCGTTCAATTTTCTAAAGCAGGCGCACTACCCGAACATGCTGAATCAACTCACTGTCCACAACGGAGAGGAAGAAGTGGCAAAGCTAGTTGCGTCACTGGATCAATTGAATCCATTGATTGAACAATGGAAAGGAAGGCAATTTCCAATTTGGCTGCGAGCAGGCAAGGAGCCTTCAGTCGTCAAAGAGCTATTGAAGACGGATCCGGATCCCACGAAAAATAGCGCTGCCGTTGGGATTTATCGTAGCTACAAGAAGGAGTTTGAGCGCCAAACCACGGCGCGGTCTTAATCTCTCGTGCTGATTGTGCTTGCTAACTGTACGAGACATCTAATTGTTGTCCGTTATAATATAACTGCAGAACAATAGATTTGGATAAAAGATCTGTGTTGTATTATCTCAGCCGTACGCTATTCGAGAGTACGCAATCGCAGTCAAACCACAAAACTTCCTTTATCATTGGTCGTTTAGCGCACTATGTTTGGCTCTCATCCATCCATCACTAATGCATCGAATCAGGTCAGCTGCTAGCTGAGTGATCCCCTGTCGACGGGAATGATGCGCATTATTGAAACACATTAGTCGTTGGTGATACGAAGAGGTAACGAGGGATCGAAAAGCACGCGGAACGATGGAACCCTGACTGAACAGCAAATGAGACATCTACGAGGTATAGAGTATAGCAAGACGAAGGCAAAATGAGTTTTGCCAAATTCATGGACTCCACCGTAGAAAGCGTCGTCAGATTGGATATTAAGTAAGCATCGAGCTACGTCGCGACACGAAAGCAATGTCCGAGTTTATCGTTAATATAACGGGGGCCGACGATAGATGTATAGACTATCGCATCAAAGATTGGCGTGTCTACGCTCATTTGGCGACCTTATCTCGAAGATTAAGGACTTGCTCTCTACGCAGCAATTTTTGGCGCTTCATCAAATTATCAGCACCTGATATTTGCCCATGATCTATCTCGTTCAATCGTGGCTAAGCATTTGCGGTATACCAACACCATTTGTGTAACGGGGCACCGACGACTACGTACTAGACTACCAGTACGGAATCAACTATTACTGACAACTGTAAAGGTCAGTGCCCAGATAGGTGTAAGCGCTACACAGATAAAGGTAACGACTAAGGCAAAGGCTCGAGTCGTGGTGAAAGTAAAACTGTTATTTAATCTAATTAAGTCCTATCACTTTTGTGTCTCTGTTCGTACTGACTTAATTATATTAATAAAGCGAAACGAATAATGACGTCTACTCACCACATATTGCGCGCGTCTAGCAGCGATTAGTGGGTTAATATCATCACGATATCAACCAATGAGTAGACCGTTCAGTCATCCCAACAATATCACTATACTTAGTGACATTGTAAAAAGAATATTCAACGTAATATACTTAATTGCCATTCTCTCCTTGATGGCAATTCCATGTAATGGGCTACCCCGTTCCAATTTGGCTGGGCCACATTGATTCTTTTCTCGATCTCTGACAACCACAAGACTAGGGCCTAATATTACACTTTGCCTACACGACATCGCGGACACTGGAGTACGTAAGTCGACGGGCGAAGTTTAAATAAGCTTCACTCTTGTCAAAGATATATTGAGACTGGAATGATGTCTGGTCCACTCATCAGTATAGGCTCCTGATAACATTGCACCATACGATCACGTCAATAAGACCTAGTATGTGACTTGATCATGAGATCTTGCAAAACAATAGGATCATGAGTGTTAACCAGCGATCTTGGTGTCAGGTTTCGCAAAAACTGGTTCTCTATCTGGAGTGTAATGGGGTGAGCCCGTTGCATAAAAATCGACACGAATGCATTAATTTTAAAATATAATCAATTATTATGATATTCAATCAACATAACTCGAGAAGAGGTGATGTTGGGGGGATATTACCAGCGAGTGTAATATTCCTGAGTTGTCCACTTATTAGTTGATGTACCGTTTACATCAACAATATTAACCACCAGTCGCTGCCGGACGCGCGCAATGGGTGGTGAGCAAAAAACCCACATAGGATATGGTAGTTTACAATACCTGTACCAAGACAAAGATGATTTATTGAAGAAACTTAACAATCTTAATACAATTTTGCTTTTTCCCTTAGACAAAGTCACCGAGCTCTGTTTACTTCCTAGCAAGTTCTCACTCCACGTGTACGTGACGTCGGGAGCACGCAGCCTTGTATTCTGTTAGCACATGGCTTACCAGTCATCCGGTAATAAGGTGCATTGTTACATGGATTCCGTGTCATCTCTGATCTGCACAACGTTAGTGATATTCTCGTAGCTGCATTCGACAAGTAGTAAACAAGAAAAACGACCGGCATGAGCCCAATACGACATGAATCTCATAAGATCATCAGCATCTTTTAACGTACAATAGATACCAATTGGCGCAAAAACGTGTTGTCATCTATATAAGCTTAATAGGTATAAATAAACATGCTTTTTTACCCCATAATTTCCATCGCATCTAGATTGTATTTTACGATAAATGGTCGACACTTTGAAAAGCTTAGACAATCTGTGAGCCCATGGATCAACTACTCTTAATAACATTAATATAAATTACATTGTTGTCAGCATGACAGGGGTTTTTACGATAGCCATTTCTTCGCCAAGAAGAACTTGGCTCAATTCACATTTTATTCAGGTAAATATTGAAGTGAATTAGCCCTTACAAGTATAACGTACATTACCACTATTAAATTATAAATTTTTAAATAAAAAGTGAAATGGGCACCACTTAACATATATTTGGATATGATGTGCCTCATTAATAAATAATTCACCTAGCGACGCATATTTTTACTTAGTCGACCCATCTTTACGGTCTTACGGTTGCACACTTAGTTTCTTCCTCATTTAATTTTTAGGCGACGAAAAAGCATATCTGTAGATATTTCCACTACGCATATCCCGCAAAAACGAATTTAATGAAAGAAACTGATAACCTATATATTTGCAAAGTTTATTCGGCATAGTTATCAGGCAATGTACAAGAATTTACACTTGTATTACACACAATGCCTCATTTGTATCATGACAGCACTTTATTTAATGATACAGATGCTTTACATTTTCCAAGTTATATCCTTAATTTGATATTTTACGTGGTACGTAGGTTCATATTCCCATTTCGTGGTCTAGGTGCGTAAGCACTACCACAACTGCTTTTTTGTGGTCAAATCTGAACTCAAATAAGGATTTATGTGCTGCCGCTACTGCGCAACTTGTATTGTTCCAATGGTGATACCCGCTACACATACATCCGAGTTCTAGTAAAATTGACCTCTTCGAAAATTGGTCATATGGCACTCACTGAGCTTCGACACAGTTGGCGGCATCTTGGTCGTTAGTTTTTGAGGATTGATACACTGAGATCCTGTACATTTGTGAGAATGGTCAAACCACAATCAAAGCAATAACAATCACAATATGTATTTCGTTATCTATTATATTCTCGATGACAGAAATCATATGGTCAAATAAACAAGTTGCACGCATCTTCACCGACAGATGCTGCCATCCGATCCATGGATTGTAGAAATAAAGCTGAACATACCAAGGATAACCTTCATAGGAAAGTTTAAAGCTCACTAAGGTGAAATAATCATCGAACTCTACATCTTCTACCGTGTGCATAATTCAAATAACGAATTTCTTCACTGTTACCTTTTACACTTCAATTTGTTCGATAACGAGGAAGAGGACAGATAGAAGACCGTGAAATTGCAACTTATTTTTAAGGTCAGCCTGCACGCCTTCGCTCTCACCGCGTCCCCACCGGGTTGTGCTGAGCCTCCGACCCTATAGCAAAATCAATAAGGCTTCTACAGTTAATAATCAAGCTCATCCCTGCTACCGGACCTTAGGTTCCACTTAGTCATCTCCGAAAGGGATCGATTGTTTTGGCATTAATTACCATCGAAGCACGTCATTTGTATTCGAGGTGTTACTTGTTAAACGTACTGCAACGCTAGGCCTAAAAGAGGTGGTCGCTATTTTGTTCAAATTCTTGGACATGAGAACATTAAAAGGTAGTATCTGCCTTTACTTTGTTTGGGTTCCGACGTACCTTCAAGACGTGTTTGATTAGATAGCCTCGAGACTAAATCTACGCTTTTCGCCTTCTTTTATAAAGCTTTGGTTCTTTTCTTGCGTCTCTACTTCGTACCACTCGTCACTGCGGTACATAAACTGGTATGTACCATCTAGTTTTTCTCGCCAAGGCTTCATTGGACGTTTAGGCGTGCATGAAGAGTCCTCTTCTTGTCGTTAAGCCGTCTATCCCTATGGATCGGGTGTCTAAAATGAACGTTGTATTTTTCTCTTGTGCAGATGTTTTAGAAAGTAAAGGTTAATTATATTCAGCACTGGCTACTCTTCGCACGTCAATGATGCGACATTAAACCTAGCAGCACTGCATCTTAAACATAAATAAGTCGGCGGTGTACGTCTTTCCGTCTTATCCCACACAGGGAATCCACATCTCAATTGTAATCGTGCCGTCCCAACTGTCAAGTCGTCAATCACTTTCTGTCTCATCTCTTCATCGTCGTCTCGTTGCACCGCGTTATTGGTCGTACCTTGTTCTGCCATTTAGGTGACACCAAATCGTGGTATTTCCGTTGGACCAAACATAAAATAATCAAGATCTATCATTTCCGACATAGGAACAGTGGCTTTACTCCGGATAGGAACTAGACGCAGAAATTGCAGAAAGCCGCCCAATATGTTAGTTTTTCGCATGACCGACACTGGCTTTGAAAAGGCTGAAAATACTTCATTGACTAGATAGATATGTATATGACAAGCATTATGCCTTCAACGCAAGGTTACGGCAGCCAATTACATCTATATGCAGCTTTCGATGCCGATAACTGCCCGAGAGCTTCTGCCCGTTTTAGCGACATGGAAATTATGGCGTTTCTAGGTTTGACGATCCAAACGGACTTGTAAATGAAGAGCGTTTAGCATTCCGGGATTTTGAACGATATGTAAACCCGGTATCAGCTATATTTGTTAACAAACATCAAATTTTTTGTACAGAAGTATATCAAGTAAGTGTGGATATCGACGAGCACTAATATATATTTTTTATGCACTCCAATTAGTATCATGAGTACTACATCAAACTTCAGCGCCTTCTCATCGGCATTTTGGATGTATTCAATTTTACGAGCTTATCCTGTGGGTCACTCCACCGGTTTGTAAAATACCGACTCATGTAATTGATGGTCTCCATTCTCATACAAGACAATTTTGCT